TCATCTACTATATTTATAATTTGAGAAGAAGAAAATATCATAAAGGCAGTGAAACTCCTATGAGGGAAAGGCTTTGTGTTAATTTTCTATAAAGGTATCTGATAGGTTTCTTTTTAAAATGAAAAAAAAAATATGATTATATATTATGGAAAATAGAAAAAGGAAAAAAATTACTTCTAAATCTACCATACTAGCACAACTATTACTGATGATGATGTAATTCTTTACTTTTATCTCTGTATATTAGTAAAGTTATTTTTAAATGGTTAGATAGAAACATTTCTTAATAATATTTTAGCACAAGAATGTTAATATTTTCTGTATAGGTTTTAGTTGTATATTTTTGCCTAGATGGAATAGTAGAATTATGGAATATTTGCAATGGAATAATATTATAGATCATCCAGAATATCAAAAGTCCCGTATATCTCTTATTAAGTAAGGCATATAGGTTAGAAATTTAGTATCTTATAGACTGGGTCATAAGTATAATAATAATCCAGATTTTATTGGTACTTGTCCTTATTGCCCATGTAGACTATACCAGTCTCCTTAAAAAATCCCCATAATGTAGGAGGAACAGGACTTTGGCTAACATTACACACATACTATGAGGAAAATCAGTTAATTTTATGCTCAGTTATTATTTTCTTTCCTCTTTCCTGCTCTACCCTTCCAATGCTAGATTGTTACTCTCATGCTAGATGCTGAAGAGGCCCCAGCACTGCAGCCACCAAGAGGATGCTGCCAGGAGGGTCCTGAAAGCTTAGACATCAAGGTATTATGAATGCTTCCTTTTTCTCTCCCTATACCACTTCTCCAGCACTACCATTGCTGTCTTACAGAATTTTTAATGAAATAGCTTTTGAGGAATGTATTAAAATTTGTTACTCAAGATGTAGTTCTTGGATAGGTAGGATTTGGCAGAACAATTAGAAATGCAAATTCTCGGGCTCCACACAAAAGAGTAAAATTTTTGGAAGCCTCAGGTGATTTATATGCAAACTGGCTTGAAAAACAAATTTCTTGGGCCGGTGATTTAGCTCAGTGGTTCTGCCACCTGCCTTACAAGCGGGAAGTCCCTGAGTTCGATCCCCAGTACCAAAAAAAAAAAGAAAAACATAAATTTCTTAAAACATCTCTCTGTTTCTGAGATTTATGCATAAATTCAAATTGAGACAAGGACTCTGTTGAGTCAGAAATAAAAAGTAACAGCCCGTCTTACATGCATCCCTTCCCTTTGATGTCCTCATGTTTTTGACTCTTTTAAACTTTAGATGCTCAGCTCCTTCATTAGAAAGATCTCCCTCAGCTGGCTCCTCATTCTACATTGTCTTTTACAGAGACTTTTAGACACCTGTCATTTCTCCTTCAGTTCAAACAGAGATGGTTCAAAGCAAACTAGAGCTCCACCAGATTTATGGGAAATCTTGTGCTTTACTCATATGTAAAATACATTTTTATTTAATCAGCATTGATTCAGTACATATTACCCACAAGCATCCTATCATGGGATACAAGTAAAACAATCCCTACTTTCCAAGGAGGCAAGGGAAGGGGCATGCATGAGACATGTAGGGACCTCTGAGAGAAAGTTTGAGGAAGGAGCCCAAAGTTCTTCAGCTGGAGCAACCTGGCTGTAATTTAGGGAAACCACACCTCCTCTTGCATTTGCAGCTGGTGAGGCTATTTTCCAGGTGGAAAGCCTTCCTCCATTTCCAATTATTTACCTTCTTCCCACCTTCCCCTCTAAGGCCAATTTAAAGTGCTAATTTATCAATGAAATTTGCCTTAATTCCCTCAGCTGTTATGATTTTGGTACTTCAGAACTCCATCCTACCTCTCTTAAGATGGAGTATGTGTGTTAAGATCTCATAAAAGACAGGAGGGTCCTCATTAATAGAGTATATTTTAGCCAGTTTTCTTAGATTCACCAGAGTCTAACATGCTGTGCCATCATTTTTAAAGGAAGGTAAAAAACACAGATAATACTGTATATCCATTTTCTTAATGCTTTACTATTTATGAATAATATCAGATTTCTCAAATCTTTCTAGAGAGAACATGAGAAGGAACACTGTATATTGCCTGGGACAGTTAGCAAGATTAAACCCCAGCCCTTTTCTCTAACATCCTTTTCAAATGTAGGATTATTTTATCTAGACACAATATCCTCATCTACAGATTAGTGGCTGTTAATCTCAGGTGGATGGGATTTTATCTCATTGTAAGAAGTGGGTTGGTGATACTAATGTTAGTATTTAAGAAGTCCTCTACATAAGTGGATAGCACGCTACGTAAGTCAATAGCACTTATTATGGCTGCTTCTTCCATAACTGAGATGGAATACGATGAGGACCTAGGACCTATTTCTGAAGAGTGTACAACTGCTATTAACCATGTAATATCTTACCAGATGTTTATCAGTGATGTGTATTTATCCATGGTTAGTATGAGTTCTGGAGCAACTTTGAGGAAGGTTTTAGCTCAGATTCAGTATTGATATATTTACTATCTTCTTAGCAGTGGTCATGGCTGTATTTGTGATCTGTTTCGAGGGATAACAGCAATTCAGTAGCTAGGGTATTGCCAATTTGGCACAATGATTTAAAATTGTGATTGTACATTATAAAGTATGATAGAATTACAGTTCTTCTAGTGAATTTCCAAAATTATATGGAAATCTGTGGTGGCAGATAGAATAAAAAATTTTACACCTTTGTGCCATCTTATAATGAATGTAGATGTGTTAGGTTTACTGAAATAGATTTATTTTACAGTTTTACTTAAATTAGACTGTATGTCTGTTATTGATCTACACAATTGATGGATAAAATGCTAGCATATAATTTAATAAATTTGACTTTTCAGAAAGTCATAATATGTAAACATTAGACACTAGTGTGTTAGAATCTGGATGGCTGGTCTTTAAGGTTATCTGTGCTCAGGAAGACAGCCACATACTTTTGGGGTTTAAGGGACAAACAGAACACCCAACAATGACAAAAGGAGGTACTTTCTGGACAAATATTGAAATAGCAAAGTGAATTTATGTGAGACTTTTGTATCAAAAACAAGCCTTTCTTACCCCATTTGCTCTTCATTCTAACCTCTCTCAGGCTTGCTCTTATGCTGAAGAGAAGGAAATGCCTAATTTTGTCATATTCTTTGAGGACCAGGCTGAAGTGAGGAGGTACCAAGCAAAACGGTTCCTAAGATATCTAAGAAATCGTAAGAGTACTATCTGCCTTCCGGTTATTCAGGTGACTATAATGTGCTGTGATGTGCTCCATGAGGCCTTTGCCAAATATAGAAAATAATTAATGTCTATCTAATTTTTTAGAAAACTCATGGTTGTACATGGGCTCCTTAGCAATTGTGCTTGAGCTCAAGCATGTGCCAGTATCTTTTTGGGTAAAGTTTTGCCACTAAATACATACTTGGCTTTTCTCAATGAGCTACAAACTGATGGTCCCTGAATCAGCAGAATTACTACTTGGGAATCAGGAGAAATGCAAATTCATGGATACTGCCCCAGGCCTATGGAATGAAATTCTCTGTGGGTAGGGTCCAGGTAGTTGTGTCTAACAAGATCTCTGGATGAGAATATTCTGTGTAGTTTCAGAAGCACTATTTGCATAACTTCTTTCCAGAGCTGTTAGCACCCTTTCCAGATCACTAACTTAATCCAGGCACAAGTTCTAGTATTTAATATAAATCTCACCTCAATGTCCTGAAAAAAATTTCATCATTGGGCTGATACTCCAAAGAATCAATCTGTATTTCAGCAGGGAAAATTAAATCCAGAACAGCCTTACTTATATAAAGTTTTTTTAAATTCCATCATCATTACCAGACGTTATACCTGTTAATAATAGAATTGAACCATTAGAGAACTCCAAAGCTAATGACATGTGTGTGTATCTCTCTCTCTCTCTCTCTCTCTCTCTCTCTCTATATATATATATCATATATATCATATACTTATAATATACCTTTGGTACCTTTGCTTTGTAGTAGATTAAAATCCCCTGTGGATCTTTAAAAACTCCTAATGCCTGGGTCACAGACCATCCAAACTAGTTCAGAGTCTGCAATTGATCCTGGTATCAGACTTTAAAATTCTCCGTCAATTCCAGTTCACTACAAAGTTTGAAAACCAGTTGACTGTGAACTTACTCATCATTCTACTGGAAGTAGAATGTACCAATGTAAAACTGAATCTTTTACTCCTCTCCAATAGGTGCCTTATTTAGATAAATGGGAAAATGATGAACAAGCCCTCAAATCTGCCCTGAAGGCAGAAATTGAATTAACAAAGATTCTGGAAGACCTGCAGACTGCAGCTTCTCAGGCTGTAGATACTCATGTGAGTTATCTTGGTTTGACAAGCAAAGTCATTTCTCACTTCTGGATTCTAACTTGCTTCTGGGAAATGGGCCTGAGGTAATGAATCACCCAATATGTCCTTATTTCTCTCCAATCAAGTAGAGGAAATTATTTCAAGAAATGGGTTTGGGATGGGGGTGGAGGTGTTAGGGATCCAGGTAAGGAAAAATGCAACTTTATGAACTCAAAGCAGGACAGGAAAATCTTCCCAGGAGTAATGCATCCTCAAAGATTGAATGAAATAGTTCTGTTGTGGACTTGGAAGTAACCTTGACTAGAAATATTTAAGCTCAATGTGCACCAGAATCATTTGGAGCGCTTACGATAACAACTATTGGGATCCACCTTCAGAAGGTTGATTCATTTGTTTGTGTATGGGAACCAAGATTTGTGCTTTTTACAAGTTCCGGTGAAATGATGCTGCCAGCTGGGACCACAGTTTGAGGTTCATGGCCCTGCATTATGAAAGCAAAAGTAGGTATTAATGAACACCTACTCTACTTTAGACTGCTATACAGTCTTCCTGGTTATTGGTGAACACTCCATCTCAAAGCTTCCTAAGAAATCAAAATGAAGAATTGCCCTAGTAAAAAAATTCTGAACCCTAGTTAGACATTAGACTCACTCAGGAGCTCTGAAAAGATACAAATGTCTAGGCTTTATGCCAGGCCACTTGTAGCTAAATCTTTGAAAATAAGATATAGCAACTCTGCAAAATCTCCAAAACATTCAAACAGGTTGCAGAACTATTGCAATAGTAGCTTGTTTCTTGAAGAAATTTGTGCTTTTGATGAGAAACCCTAACATTCATTGAGAGTAAATGCTTGTATTCCCCTTCAGGTCTTGCTTGAATCTTTGATCAGAGCTCTTGCAACAAATATATATGAATCACCTTGCCTCTTTTTAAATGGGAATGGTTACTGAGTAGCCATAGAGCTAAAGATTCTGTAATTTCTGTAACATGTTCTCAGGAATGCTGGTTATTGGATTGCAATTTGTCTCATTACAGACTTTGTCCTTAATGTGGATGTTTTTCTATTTCATTTCTGTAGCTCTTAAAGTTCGTGGAGGGGTACCTGATCAAACAGAAAAGAAACACCACTTATCTGGAACGTGAAATCACTTATCAGAAGCAATTAGAAGAGCTGAAGGAACAAGAGCTGAGGGAGCAGCAGATGAGGGAGCAACAGATGAGGGAGCAGCAGATGAGGGAGCAGCAGATGAGGGAGCAGCAGATGAGGGAGCAGCAGATGGGGGAGCAGCAGATGGGGGAGCAGCAGATGGGGGAGCAGCAGATGGGGGAGCAGGGCCCAACAGCACAGGAGATGGGGGGACAAGGCCCAGCAGCACAGGAGATGGGGGGACAAGGCCCAGCAGCACAGGAGATGGGGGAGCAGGGCCCGGAGCAGGGCCCGGAGCAGGGCCCAGAGCAGGAGATGAGGGAGCAGGGCCCGGAGCAGGGCCCAGAGCAGGAGATGAGGGAGCAGGGCCCGGAGCAGGAGATGAGGGAGCAGGGCCCAGAGCAGGAGGTGAGGAGCAGGGCCTGGAACAGCAGTTAAGGGAGCAGGATATGAGGGAGCAGGGACCAGAGCTGGAGATGAAGGAGCAGCAGAAAAGCAGCAGAAAAGCCTATCTGGAAACCTTGCTGGAGCCCCTGGCATAGGCATGTCTAAAGACATTTAACTTCTGAGGGCAGCATTGGAAGTGTTCCCAATGAAGTTGGTCCCCAAATTGCCTATTTAAGAGTCAATCATTTCCATCTGCCCCCAAACTGTTTTCCTTTCTATTTTCCTAATGTTCATTGCTGTGCATGAAAATAAATCTGTTTTGCATGACAATTACGTGTACAGTTTACTGAAAGAAAGATTAATTCCACTGGTGTGAGATTGGTGAAAGCTTCCCGAAGCAACATAGGTGACATCGAATTTTTTAAAAATCTCCTACCTTATTCTGTCTCTCCAAACAGCAACTGAGTTTTTGTAAATTTAATCAGGTAAAGGTAAGTATAATAGAAATTAAGTTGTGAAATCTTAAATTTCAATGTTTTTCCCTTATTTGTGTGTGTATTTTAGTTTGCAAAGGAGTGTTTTCTTCAAATTAAACATAAGCATTCTTGATATAGAAATAGTGACCACCTGAAGGATGGAAAATAGATGTGCAGCTGTATTCCAGGTGCCCTTCTGCAGCCCAAGGTGGACTAAGTAGACAAGAAGATTGTAAACAGAGGCAATTAATGTACTACAGCTTGACACCCCTCGAGCCTCTACTGTGAGCCAACTAACAACTACCTGAGTAATTCCATAGCAACTAATGAGCTTGCAAGCTCAGGTCAGACTTCTCAGAGCAAAATGTGGCAAGTAACATCAGGAAAGAAATGGGGGTTCTATGGCAATGTGTTCTGGCTCCAAAATTTACTAGTTTTATGGCCATGAAAAATGACCTTTTACTTTCAAGTTGCCTCTGTTTATTAATCTATAAAATAAGGCTAGTAGTACTTCAGAATTAACAACAAAATTGAGTAATAAATATTTTTGTTGCCTATTGTGCATCCTTTTTTTAAGTAATAATGCAAAATAAAATGGAAACACAAACTTACTGACAGACTTCCCTCCAATTTAGGTTGGCGGTTGTATATAATAGCTACCTTCTTTCCAACATCCCCCTACTCCCACCAAAAGAGTAACCTAATATTGCTCTCCTCCTAGCAACTAGTGATGTCACAGGCTCCTCCAGCCCCTAGCCACTACCTCACTCAACCTCACCTCAGCTCCTACAAGCTCCACCCCCACTGCTATAAAAGGCACTTGCTGTTGTGGCCATATCGCTTTTGTCTCCCCTTTGTTCAGAAACCACCTGGCAGTTCTGTTCCCCTAATAAAAGCTTGTGGCTTGGTCTGGAATTGGTTTTCAGCCCTTTTACCTGACACTTACAAGAAAAAAAACTTTAATTAAAAAGTAGGAGGACACACGCCTGCAATCCCAGCACTCAGGAGGCTGAGGCAGGAGGATCGCTGTGAGTTTGAGGCCAGCCTGGGCTCTATAGTGAGTTCAAGTCCAGCCTGAACTACATAGCAAGACCCTGTCTGAAAAACAAGTAGGGGGAAATGGTAAGGGACCTTGTCTTGAGAGTATAACAAAAGAGTAGAAAGTAGGAAAGAACTCCAGCTTGGGCAGCTGGAAGGGCCACACTGGTGAAGAGGATCAGACTGACCCATGAACAAAGAGAAGGGATGAGTTTTATGTGTAGGTGGTGGGGTGGTTCTGGTTGATCATTATCTCAGTCCTGGTTTCAAAACTCTGGAATCCTAATGGCTTGAGGGATGGTTCTGTTTCTACAGAATGATTGTCTGTCTGTAGTGGCTTCTGTCAAGTTTATACTTTTCCTGGAATCCAGGTGACCACAGCTTCGGTACAATGGCTACTGACTTCTGGGCATAGTTGGGCATCCCTCCATGTTTTGGTGTCCTCAGTCTTGAAGAGGGATGAGATCATGTGAATCTAGGGTTTATCAACCTTGTTTTGCCAACTTTTAGACAGACAATCCCCAAATGATTAACATAACTATATGCAGAGTTGAGAAGGGATTTGAACCAAAGTTTTAATTTAACAAAATACAAAATAAAGGTCATAGTTTATTCTACTTTTAGTTACCTGTTGGGCCTAAGGGAAGAGTTGTGGTTTTGTACCACAAACAACCTTGAAGTAACTGACCATCCCAGAAGAAAACACAACCATGATTTCAATGATTAACAGGCTATGGGCCCAGGAGTCTGCTCATTCCTCAATCCTATACTGGTTTGTCTAGAATAGTATCTGCCCATATTATGTGTTGTCAGTTTCTATAATAATGATACTTCTTAAACCTGAGGGAAGTCAATACGAAAGAAATACTACTTCCAATAAGGAAACAGCTCACTGACATTAAGGCAGAATCTTAAAATATTTACTATCTTTAAAAAGAAAGAAAAATCTTGGAGCCAAGCACACCGGGAGGGCACCAGAGAGAGGTACTGAGTCACCAGAAGCCCCGTCCCATCCAGCCCATGCCAAACACACCCTCAGGGAACAGCCAGAAGGTGAGGATCCCTCACCACTGGCCACAACCACTTCAGTGATCCACTTAGCCACATGGGTGCCTGCAGGACACCCCCTGCCTCTGGCCTCTTGGCTGTACTGCTACCTGGTTCCACACTACAAAGACACAGGGGACACCAGACCACCAGACTAACATACTGGGTAAGTTGGAGGGATCATCACCTCCCATCAGAACCTGAACTATCTTCAGGGGAGGGGCAGCTGGAACCTGCAGTACAACCTTGCAGAGTTCAACCCTACAGAAGGACAGGAAGCTCCACTTGAGACTTGCAGCCAGAAATCTGCTTGAATCTCATGGTTCTGTGACTGGCTTGCTAAGACTCATTGAATTATAACTGCACACTGCTCCCCACGTTGTCTATTGTGACAGCAGAGACATACCCTGAAGGAGTAAAAATTTTCTCTGAAAATTTTCCCTGACATACCCTGAGGGAAAAAAAATTTTCATTTTTTTTTTTAATTTCTAAAATTATTATTATGGGGGTTTTTTGCTCTTATTTTTAATTTTTTTCCTATCTTTTCAATTTTTTATTTTTCTCTTCTCTTTTTCTTTCTTTTCTCTTTTGTTTTTCTCTCTCTCTAACTCACTCTCTTGCTGTCCCACATTGTTCTTCATCTCCCTTTTTGTTCCTGTTCTGACCCTAATTCAGATATCGTCTTTATTTTTCTTTTATTTTCTTTTATTCTCTTTTCCTTCTCTCAACTGTGTCCTCTGGCTGAACTGTTAACCTTCCCCTATCCTTCTATCTACTTATCCCTCCCTCCCCAACTCCTTCTAACTTCCCATCCCGAAAGGTAAAGTTGCTATATTGAAGAGTTTATTCACTATAAACATATGTTGGGTTGGTCCTCAATTTTGATTTAATTCACACAGTTAAAGGTGATAGATTAATAACTACCACAAAATGTCATTTTCTAAGAGGTACTTGATGCTTTGGGGTTGCTGATTGTATAACTTGGGCTAAGGCATTGTTATTGATCTAGTCAGTGGTCCTTCCTGGTATAATGAAAATGAGACAGCCTCAGAGGCATGAGACTCAAAACCTAAAAACCAGCTATATCAGAAAGACACCTCTGAGAAACAATCATTCCATAAGGGTTCTAATTACAAGCAACAAAGATACTTACAATAAGCAGTTTTGAAGTATCAACCCAGGAATTAAACCAAGGACAGTACCAAAGGCAAAAATGAGAAGACATTTAAGCAAGATACAAACTCAGACTTCCACCCCACCAAGGGTAAATTCTGGGGGAAACGAGGTAGAAAAGGCTGATAATCAACCACCTGGGCACCCTGAACTGACAGCACAGGAAGTAACAAAACAGAAGAATGAGGCTCTAGAAAAATTCAAAGCAGAAATAATCACCCAGGTAATTACAGAGATGGTGAGCAGGGTGAAAGACATGATTAGAGGCTCTAGAACAGAAACAAATAAAAAAATAGATGAGCTCAGAAACATGCTGGAACCCATAAATGCCCAGCATAAGGAAGAAATGGAAACCATGATCACCCAACATGAGAAAGAAATGGAATCAATGAAACAGATTCAAACAGATATTCAGGAGATTAAAAACTCCATTGAAAGCATGCACAGCAGATTATGGGAATCTGAAGATACAATATCAGGTATAGAAGACAGGATGAATTTAAGGACCATGAAAACAGAGATTTCTTCAAAATAGTAAGGGACCAAGAGAAATCAATCCAGCAGCTGCTAAATGATGCAAAGAAGAATAACATAAGACTGATAGGAGTCCAAAAAAAAGCAGGACAATGTACAATTGACATAAAAAAACTGTTCACAGAAGTAATAGTTGAAAACTTCCCAAAGATAGAGAATTAGACATAAAGATAAGTGAAGCATATAGAACTCCACCTAGCCACGATCAAAAAAAATCTACACCTAGACATATAAGTCAAGATCCCAGAAACCCAGCAGAAGAACAAAATCCTACAAGCAGTTAGAGAAAAGAAAAACATCACCTATAAAGGAAAGCCTATCAGAATCACAGCAGACTTCTCAACACAAACCCTCAAGTCAAGGAGAGCCTGGAGTGAAGTATTTTGAGCCCTAAAAGAATATAACTTCCAATCTAGACTGTTGTATCCTGCAAAATTATCTTTCAAAATCGATGGGGAAATTAGATACTTCCACAACAAAGAATACTTGAGAAATTTCATGAACACCAAACCAGCACACCAAACAAGTCTAAACAATATCCTAGAAAAAAACAATGAGGGTCACAACACCATGAGGACTAACAGACTAAAGCCACCAGGAAAGTCAAGAAACTAAAGGGAAAGGGGGGAAAATAAGAAAAGAGCCAACAACAATAAAACATCATGACAAGGATGAGTCAATATCTATCAATTATACCTCTCAATATTAATGGCCTCAATTCACTAATCAAAAGAAATAGACTGACAGAATGGATTAAGAAGCAAACTCCAGCACTGTGCTGTATACCAGAAACATACCTAACTCAAAAAGAAATACATAGACTGAAAATAAAAGGATGGAAAACAGTTCTCCATGTGACAGGAACCCAGAAAAAAGCCGGGGTAGGTATCTTATTTGCAGACAAAGTAGATTTGAAGTCAAAACTAATTAAGAGAGACAAAGATGGCCACTACATCCTTGTGAAGAAAACAATCCAAGAGGAAGAGATGACAATCATAAATATATATGCAACAAATACAAATCCCAACTATACAAAACAAATATTAATGGACATGAAAAACCAAATAAGCACTAAT